AACTGTGGGCCCGCTCGACAGCCGGCATCCCCTTACTTCCCCTCAAGTCCTTGTGGATTTGAACAATTGTTTATACCGCTATTACATCCTCCTTATCCGAAGTAAAAATTTTGGATTACAATAAGGCACAACTAGTTACAATTGACAATGGACAAGCGCAAATACAAGACGGCACGTTTAGATTTATTCATCTGATCGACTTAGAAAAATACGAACATTTCTTGACGGACACTTATAACGAAATAACTACCCAAATCCCTAAGAACAATTTCCTATACCCTATCCTAAAACATGAACCCAACCAAACATTTGAAATACTGAACACCCTTAAACCTTCTAATAATAACAAAATAAAAAGATCAATTGACATATTGGGAACGACTTGGAAACATTTAGCCGGATCTCCAGATCATGATAACAGATAACTTAAATAAATTAAATGAAAATAGTGATAATCAAATGATAATTAATAATTGAAAAACCTATAAATAATATAACTAATATATTTAATAATATGATAAACTCAATTAGTAAAGATGATAACACAATGACTGAAATTTTAATAAATTATCAAAATAGGATTAGACAAATTAAAGAAGTATTAATAAATATTAGATACGCCATTCAATGGGCACAAAACAATGTTGTAAACTCAGTAATATTAAGTAAAAAAAAATTGAACTGAAAATTAATAAAAGAAAAAATACCATTCAAAAGTGCAGAAGAAGCACTAGAATTATCGAAAGTAAATGTTTTATACAATAATATGAAAATTTTATATATTATTAAAATACCTTTAACGACCAAAGAAATTTTTAAAAAAATTATTATAAGACCTGTAAAAAAGATTAATAATATTATAATTGAAACTGAATTTAAAGAAGTGTTAAAAGGAAAAAGTTTATTATATGGAATAAAAGATAAATTTGAATATTTTAATGATATGACAATTTGTAAAGAGAAAAATTTAGTAGATTTAAGTCAAAATCTTTGTATAACAAGAATAATAAATAGTTTAAATTCAACTTGCACGACAACCAATGGTCACCACGTCCCGATGTTAGAAGAAATGAAACCAGGAGTAATATTATTGAATCAATTTATTGGAGAAATTGAAATCGACAATACCCCTCAATTAATAAAAGGAACGCATGTTATAACATTTTACAACGCATCCATTAAAATCAACAATAAAGAATTTATAAATACCGAAGCAAAGGCAATCGAAACTCTTCCTGCGATTCTGCAACCAGCCCCATTAGAAAAACAACATATAGAACTGCTTTCCCTACAGAGCTTAAAAGACTTACATATCCACAACATACATCGAATAAATTTTCTGAAGAAAGCAACTTTATCCGTCGGAAGCTTAGCCGCAATAGCGTTTTGCTTTATCATCATAGTTATCATTTTCCTAAGGAAGAGATCAATAAAAGTACAATGTGTGGAAAAGAAAAATGTAAGATTTATAACAAATTCCAACGTATGTAAATTTTAATAGCTTACCATTCTATTAATGATCGAGGACGATCATATTTAAAGGGGGAGGAGTTAACAAAGCAGTTTATAATAACACAGTAGTTTATAGTAAGCTTCATATAACGGTCAATAACTCCACACGCGTTTCCGCTTATACGCTGACACCGCATAAACCAAATTGAGAATATTGGAACATCAACTTTATTATTGCAACGTCAACATAACGTGCTGGGAATATTGGAAACATCAACTTTTAGTATTGCAACGTCAACATAACGTGACCAGGTTTTTAGGGTAAACTTAAGTTTAGTTTTTAAGTAAAGTAAATCAATGTAATCAGTTTTTAGAAGGAACTCAATAAAGAAAGACAGGTGGGCACGAGTCCACCTTGTTTTAAAAAACGTTTTAACTAAACCAAAAACTTAACTTATATACAAAATGTTTACGTTAAGTACATTGCATCGTTTTGTTAGTTAAGAGTGTCTAGATTTGTTGCTTAACATTACTATTTATAAAAAAGAAATGAAAATATAAAGACAGACTTTTTGAAGACCCCAAGCCAAAATCTTTGATTTCAAAATGTTCAATAAATCGGATACAAATTTTTGATTAACGTAGTATCGTTACGTGTTATTATTCTGTTGTACTTCCAGAAGTTGATAGCCATCATTCAGATGAAACCGGTTCGGGAGAGGGCGAGAACTCCAACGGAGGTATTTCGAATATAGGTGGAAATGACGACGACCAAGCACGGCTAATACTCAAACGAAAATTGCAGAGAAATCGAACTTCGTTCACGAACGAGCAAATCGATAGCTTAGAAAAAGGTAACTTTTGTATTATTCTTCTCCTTAACCGTTTGTATATGTAACTAGCAGTCACAGTATATTGTGTAATCTTCTTTAATAGTATGAGCGCGTTTCTCCTTTGATGATTAAATACAACTCGCGATTTTAGTAATTTACAGTAGTGTCTTTGAGCCTTTTAAGGCGACCACCTTGCGAAGAACCAATTTCTGTTACTAAAACAGAAAACGGAGTGCGAGTGAAGCCCTGGCGTTGGACGTTACAAACGAAACGTGTGATCTCGTGTCGAACAATAGACGAGCACTTTTCTTTTTTTTTGCGTTGTGAGCAGTGGACTAGCTCTAAGACGAAGCGCTTGGAAACAGGACGGTGTCGACAAATGCGGTATACAGAGCGGTACTGGTGCTCTCGACGACATGAGCAGATGCGGTAGCAGGCGAAGCTGAGGTGTTATGCAAGAGCGTGTGGTGACGGTTGCTACACATACGACAGTCCGATGAACTATTACAGCGGTCTTTGATATGTCCTGGACTTAAACGATTCCAACAAGCTTTCGATTCTTTGATAAATTTAGATTTTGTGGAGACATCTATGTTGCGAAATTGTCACAAAAATAAATCTTATGACCAGCCTTACAGAAGGGCAATGATTATGCTCCGGTATCACGTGAACAAAAGCATCATCCTTGCTTTTTGTCATATACCTTCCATTTAATGCAGAATCTGATTGTAGATCCGCAGTAATAGTTATGTGTTAGTTACAGAGGTCAGATCAAAGGCACGGAAAAATTTTGCAAAAGCGAATGTATGCAACACAGCGAGTAGTGAATTTATAAAAAAAAATTTCGTTTCTTATTTTCATTGCGTCTGCGTAAATTCATCATTAGTATTATTTTTATAAGTGAATAAATATGGATGAGATGGCATCCATTACTGCGCAGCCGAAACTCTTTAAACTGTTCTAAAGCTGCCTACAAAAAGCTTAGTAATGAATACTTCTTCGCATATTCGAAGTATTCGGTGTTATTTTAAATAGTTTAATTTAATTTTTTAACTAAAAGACTGCTATAAACATTTCGTAAAAATTTTTTTTTCAATTAAACTACGCTTCATATAAATATTGCAATGTTTTTTGACAAATATATTAAACTTTTTTTCTCTTAATAAATGACGATCCTCTTAATAATAAAGAAATTTCCTTCTTGTCAACAGTATTTCTAAAAAAAAAAATTACGAAAGAAAAAACTGAATATTTTATGACATTGATTTAGTAAGGTGTATTCCATTATTTTTGCATTGAATTTGAAGGCATTATTTACTCTGGTTAGAATTATCCGATTTATGACAGATATGCATCGTTTTGCTAATAACTTTTTGTCATTTTGAAGAAAAAGCCATTATGCCTAATAGCAACCCTTGGTCCTTTTGCCAAAAAAAATTCACAATCTCTTTACAAAAGCTTCTCTTAATGTGAATTATTCACCAGCCGAATTATTCGCTATAGACAGGAACAGATGGTGCGAAGATGGGATTATAAAACGGATGAATGAGAACGTCCCAACCAAGCTCTCTGATCTCCTAAGGGATCCACTTATCGTACCTAGTCACCAATGGTTTCAGAAATGGGCCGATTCGTTACGACCAAAATTCGGTCTATGAAGAAATAATTGCAAAACCATATTACAGTAAGCATTAAGTAAATGTCTCAAATTTAACAAATTGAAAAAAAAACGAAGATAATAAATAGGATTAAGAAAAACTATAGCATTCGCAGCAATTATACAGCTTATTAAAGGAGTTGGCCTTTTTACAAAAACTAGGTTGTATAATAACTGGAATCTTAAATAAACAACATATTTAGTTTCCACTAATTTTTTTTTAAAAGTTTCCTATTTGAATTGAACTGCACTTTTGTATATAATAAAATGCACAATGTTTTGTTGTGAATTTTTAGATGGTAAAATGTTTATTTTAATATTTATAAAAAGTACCAATTGAGCACAACCGTTTTAGTATGCAGAATAGCGTATCTCTCAATGTAATGATTTATTTGCCTTCGTTTGATCTTCTGAATAGGGAAAAACTTCGGCAGTGCAGGTTAATATAAAATATTGAGGTTTAAGGTAACGTTGAATTCAGTTTTCAATATTTTAGAATTCTAGTTATACATATACAAACTAATCTACAGTGGATTGTGATTATGGGATGCAAATCTTAAATTTTACATATTTTTCTAACTGATATATTGGGGTCTTATTTATATTGACGAAAAGAAATAAATAGATATCAATTCAGAAAAAATCGAAATAAGGAATGGAAATAAATATAATATAAATTCAGCAATTAGCAAATGAACATTGATCGCAAATCGGTGCGGAGTTTTCGATATAGTTGCGAGCTGTGGGTTCAATACCGAATGAATTGAGTTTAGCGCTGATGGTTACGAAAAAGCAAGTTAATACAAAAACATGTTGCGGATACAGATGACTTGCAATATTTGGTGACATTGGGCAGCCCAGTATTTCTCTCATGAGCACATAGCGGCGATGCCACCTGCTCTGAAAACTTGGTGCCTTTATCTGGCTCTCCACCTTGCCAATTAAACTCCTAACGTGTTTCATCAATTGCTGCAACTTTTTCCGCTGCTGGGCCGACCGTCTCGATAGAGTGTGAGAGGGGTTGGTGACATTCGCTGCGTTGCTTGCCCTCCTTAACTTTCGCCAGTGGAACAGAGTATGATGCTCGAGAGTGTCCCGATGGCAAAGGAGGAAAGCAGAGCAATATCGTAGCGAATGCAACCGTCCACATAACCGGTAGTAAATGGTTGCTATAGGGTATATAACGATATTTTATGAGAGGTTTTATATAATTATTTGTATATGTGTAAATGTTGGGATTGAGTCAGAGGGTATGATGTATACACAGCGGTCACACAATTTTGCTATATTTCGGGTTATCGTTCCGTGCTGCGTGAGTATGTCGACAACACGAATCTCTTCGTTTGCGCCTTGGTATGATTTGGTTATCCGTCCTAGTTGCCATTCTTTCGGGGGGAGAAGATCATACTTGATGACGACTAAATCTCCTTCTTTTACGTCGCTTTCCGCCCTTTTTCATTTATATCCCTTGTGTAATTCCTTGAGATACTCGTTCATCCATCGGGTACTAAATTGGTGGTGCAGAGCTTTGAGTTTTTGCCTTTTATGAACCAGAGACAATTCTTCGGCATTGGGATCAGACAGCGATAACAATGGAGCACCGCGGAGAAAATGTCCAGGGCCTTGCGATATATCTGAGAGCAGTCGAGAATTGAGATTCGCTTCTATTTTCATTATCAGTATTGTGAGTTCCTCGAAGGTATATCTGTGGTTTGCGGCGACTGCTGCTTCCCATAGTCCATAGAGGCCGAGTGGGACGTATTTAGAGAAGACGTCAGCAGATATTTCCTTCAAGAATGCGACAACATCGCGTTGGAATGTAAATTGAGTTCCGACAAACGTTTTTCCATCATCGGATATATTCTTATGGGGGAGACCGCGTAGTCCAACAAATCTTGCTTCTCTCTGATGGTTGTGCCATCATTATCTGTGATATCATCTGCTGTTCATGTATGGTGCAGGTTTTTATTTTGGGTTTGAGCCGGAGGATGCAGTACTCTTGCTGTACCATTCGCATCATTTACTTGTTTCCAGCATGCAGCAAGGTTGTGTGGAGAAAATTTAACATCAGAGTGAAGAATATTTTCATTCCTGGGATAATTATGCGGTGACGTTCATTATAACTAAGGGCTGTGTATTTAAGTAATCCGTTTACGCGCATTACGCCTTTGTTGTCGAGTTTTGGATATATTGCTTGCAGCCTTCGTTGAGTCATTATTATAAGAAGCGTTTTTGCTTCGTTTATCTCTTTGTGTGTTAGAGTCAAGTTCATCTACGATGACAATCTTTGTGAGCAGTGAATAAAGCGATTTACGTAAGCAAGTAGTCTAAGGGCTCGAAGGAAGGTAGAGAATCTCTCCAAGATATCTGCGGATTGTATGGTATGGAATACGGCAATGAGCCGTTGCCCCGGAGGAGTAATGGGGGGGGAGAGTTAGTATTTAATTAATTCCTTCCTGGTTAACGAGTATTTGACGGTACATTTTCTCAATGTCACCATTTAAAAAATATTTGTGGAGTCGCCAATGTAAGATTATTAGCACAAATCATCCTGGACTGTTGGACCTGTGTGCAGTACGCCATTTAATGACTTTCCTGATTACGATAATCGGTAAACGTTGAATACGACTCAAGCTTTTGAGGATTTACTGTCGGATTGGATGACAGCGTCATGGAGTAGATAGAAGGAGAAATACTTACCATTGTTGGTTATTTCGCGAAGTAAAGTGGGTTCCATGTGGTCTAACGGCTGATTATCTTCCAAAACCTCCTTATATTCTGCTGCAGTTCGGGTTTGCACATCAGGGTTCGGTCCTTGCTGCTTTACTGCCATTCTTGAGTGACCTTGGGCTACGTCTCTGGGAATTTCCATTTTGAATGGTAATTTGACTGCGAATTTACCATTTTTCTGTCGAGTTGTTGTTTTACGAGACAACTTTTCTCAAAAAAGTTCGTCCCATTCTTGAGGTTTTGTAATGGATTGTGGGTTTTTGAGAATCTTGTCTATCACTGCTCGGATTTTGTGGTGTTCTCCAACTAGATATATAAGCAAGTATGGTCTCATTCCTTCTGCCGTGGTATATATCTTGCCTGTCTTCTTCTGGGCCTGAAGGCAATGGCTGACTCCTGGTGCTGGCGCTGTAAAAAGCTGAAATACTACAAGCATTTGCGTTTTTGAGAATCTTGTCTATCACTGCTCGGATTTTGTGGTGTTCTCCAACTAGATATATAAGCAAGTATGGTCTCATTCCTTCTGCCGTGGTATATATCTTGCCTGTCTTCTTCTGGGCCTGAAGGCAATGGCTGACTCCTGGTGCTGGCGCTGTAAAAAGCTGAAATACTTCAGGCATTTGCGTTTAACAGT